CCAGCAGGTCAAGGCTGCAGTGGCCAGGAGCAGCCACTGCACTCCAGTCTGGGTGACAGAATGAGATTCCAACTCAAAAAAAAAAAAGAAAAAAACCCAGTGGACCCTACAGATGAAGATGCTCTGTCTTATTTCAAGTTGATGATCCCTTTCCCACGAGTACTTCCTGAAACCTATGTAGCAGCTTTGTAGTGTAGTTCTTTCTGTGTTCAGGACCAAAGTGAAGCTGAAGATACGAGAAGGAAGTTGTAGGTGGCTGATTTTTTTTATTTTTATTTTTGAGTCAGAGTCTTACTCTGTCACGCAGGCTGGAGTGCAGTGGCATGTTTCCAGCCACTCCAGCGTCGACCTGCTGGGCTCAGACAATCCTTCTGCCTCAGCCTTCCTAGTAGCTGGAACTACAGGCGTGCATTACCATGCCCGGCTAATTTTTTGATATATTGTAGAGACGAGGTCTCGCCAGGTTTCCCAGGCTGGTCTTGAACCCCTGTGCTCAGGCAATCCTCTCACCTAAGCCTCCCAAAGTGTGGGACGACAGGCTTGAGTGGTGGCTGATTTTTTTAAAAAGACTGCATATACATTCAATGGGATTACATACTTTAATCTGATTGACAGAAGGAGGGAGGACAGGAGAGAAGTTTAGTTTTCGCTCTGCTGTGTGCATAACCAGATGCTCCCTTTTCTAAGAAGTATATTGAGGTTTAAACAGCACACTGCTCAGAATATTTCAGAAAACCATACTATGTATAATCCAGGAAATACTATCTGCAGAATAGGAAAATCATCACAGGCAACAAAAGATTGAAACAAAAAGAAAGCACCAGGGTTCTGAGCAGTTCTAGGTGAGTTTATCTGCAGAACAGTGGAAATACTCTCAGCTGCTGCTATGGAAACATGCGGATGAGGGTTGGTCCACGTCTTGTCATTTTATCTTAATGTGTTTCTTTGGAAAGACGGCAACGCTGAGCAGGAGGGCAGCTGTCCTTTTAGACACCCAGCTTCTTGGCCTGGGTGAGAACCACTTTAAGCACGGGCATGAAGGCAGAGGTCTCGCTGAAGTTGCTGGTGCTGACTATGTGGGTATGGATGGTCAACCCTTCTGAGTAGTTTCGGGTCTCAATGCTCCTGGCAATGTTGTGCAAACCACTGGCGATTGTTGGCGAAAGCTGAAATAAAGGTAAAACCAAGAGAAAGATTAAACTAAGAGAGAACTTAGAGCTAAGAAAGAACTTAGTTTGAAACCCTCTGCAAACATTAAACCCAGATATTTAACGAAACTTGAAATAAGCATTGTTGAAATGTACATTTAGCGTGTCTAGAAGTAGTTTCTTGGACCAAGCAACAGTTATTAAGCAGAACCATGACAGAATGATTTATATAAAGATGTTATTTATAAATTATATATGTGTAATAAGCCAGATATTTTACTATAGAAAAAAAAGCAGCCAGATTTCCTCCCCAAAGCTAAAATGCTGTCGAGAGCTTTAAGCCCTGTTATTTAATTAATTTATCTACTTTTTGAGTCAGGGTCTTACTCTGTCGCCCGAGCTAGAGTACAATGGCATGACCACAGCTTACTGCAGCCTCAACCAGCTGGGCTCGGGCAATCCTCCCACCTCAGTCTCCTGACTAGCTGGGACTATAAATGCATGCCACAACACCTGGATAATTTTTTGATTCTTTTGCAGAGACGAGGTCTTGCCAAGTTTCCCAGGCTGTTTTGAATTTGTGGGTTTACTCAAACCTCCCACCTTGGCCTCCTAAAGTGCTGGGATAACAGGTATTACAGGCATGAGTCACCGCATCTGGTCATCCAATTATTTTAGTCTCATATCCTTTTAAATTTTTCCTATACATGTGAAGGAAATTAAAGATTCTTCATCTCGATATTACCAAGGACGCAGTTTACTTAAAATCTTATCCACAATAGAAACCTTGAACTTTTGGTCCACTTCCATTGTGCCCTCAATTTACCAATCCTTAACCGCTTTTTATAATCTTGTCAGTTCTTAAGATTGAAACACCTGCAGTTTTTTTCCACATCATTACTGGCATATATGCCCATTTTATTTTGGTCTCATTTTTTTATTAATGTTTTTACATACACTCATCTAGATGTATACAATCATTCTATCTCTTTGTTTTTCTGGCTGGTCTTGAGCCCCTGTGCTCAAGCGATCCTCCCTGTTCAGCCTCCTGAGTGTTGGGATTCCAGAGGCGAGCCACCACGCTGGCGAGAAAATGTTACTTTGGATCCATCACAGCCACACTACTTCCATTGTTACATCAACTTTCTCCAGTTTGGTTCAAATGAGAGAAATGTTACTTAATCTGATGGAACTAGATGTAGGGAACCAGTAGTGGAGTGCTGAAGAGCAGCAAGAGAGGAAGCTCCCATTCTGTCCTTTCTCTCCTATGCCAGGGGTTGCATTAGCAAAACAGGACAATTCTAGAGAGAAACGCAGAGGCAAGGAGAGTGCAAACATGAGCCGACTCCTCCCTGCAGCAGTCCTCATAGCACGGCATCAGGCCTTCTCATCCTGTGGCTGCTGTATAACAGCTGTTCTAGGGGAAAGCACCAAGGATTGGACTTGAAGAACAATATCTGCCTGCTCTTGTATACTTCTTGAAACAGGCCATAGGCGGTGAACAGCAAGAGTCCCCTCAAAGCCAATCCAGACAGGTTTGTATTTCTACTCTTTGTCATGAGAAGGGTTAATAACACACACACACACACACACACACACACACACACACACACACACACACACCCCTCTCATCTTCGGTGCACATCCTCGGTGCATGATGTTTGTGATTTGGACAGCTGGAGCACAGCCCATTCTGTGAATGTCAGGACAATTCTGCCCCAAGTGCATTAAGGAAGAGTGCCAATGTTTAACAGCAACTAGGGGGAAAAGATTGTAAATCCTCTTTCGCCCCAAAACTTACTGTCTGCTCCCTCAGTTTATCATACAGAACCTCCAAGCGCTTGCTGGCATCGTCTAGCTTCCTCTTGGTTTGCTGCAGGAGAAGAAAAACACGTTACATTGGAACTTTAACTTTCACCCAAAGAACCTGCCCCATCGCACAGTGCTGCACATACATGCTAGATGCTGAACAGCTTCATCTTATAAAGAAAAACCTTGGAGAACCTATTCAGTAAATGGTGCTGGGAAAACTGGATGACCACAATGCAGAAGACCTCTACCTATCACCATGCACAAAAATCAACTCTACCTATCACAATGCAGAAGACTTCTACCTATCACCATGCACAAAAATCAACTAAATGGATCAGAGACCTAAATGTAAAACCTCAAACTATAAGAACCTTAGAAAATGCAGGAGATACCCTTATGGAAATTGGAACTGGCAACCAATTCCTGGTCAAAACCCCAAGTGCGCAGGTCACAAGAGATAAGATAGACAAGTGGGACCTTATCAAACTGACAAGCTTCTGCAAAGCCCAAGAAACCATTGAGAGAGTGGGAAGACAGCCCACAGTCTGGGAACAAATATTTTCCAACTATATGTCTGACACAGGTCTAATATCTAGGATCTACAAGCAACTCACACGTGCCATTAAAAAACAAAAACAAAAACAGCCCCATTACAAAGTGGGCAAAAGATATGAATAGACACTTCTCAAAAGAAGACATATGGAGGCCAGGTGCGGTGGTTCAAGCCTGTAATTCTAGCACTTTGGGAAGCCGAGGTGAGAGGACTGTCTGAGCCCTCAGATTCAAGAACAGCCTGGGCAACTTGGTGAGACTTCATCTCTATGATAAATCAAAACATTAGCTGAGTGTGGTAGTACAGGCCTGTAGTTCCATCTACTTGGAAGGCTGAGGCAGAAGGAGCGCTGGAACCCAGCAGGTTGACACTACGGTGGCCGTGAGCATGCCGCTACACTCCAGCCTGGGCGACAGAGTGAGACTCCAACTCAAAAAAAAAAGAAGAAGAAGATATACGGGCTGGGTCAGGCTTGGTGGCTCAGCCTGTAATCTCAGCACTTTGTGGGGCTGGGGCGAGACCAGTCTGGGAAACTTGGCAAGACCTTGTTTCTACAATAAATCAAAAATTAGCTGGGCATGGTAGTGCACGCCTGCAGTTCTGGCTACTTGGAAGGCTGAGGCAGAAGGATCGCCAAAGCCCAGCAGGTCAACACTGGGGTGGCTGTAAGCGTGCTAATGCACTCCAGCCTGGGTGACAGAGTGAGATGCCAACTCAAAAAAAAAAAAAAGGACATACAAGCAGTCAACAGATACATGAAAAAATGCTCAGCCTCACTAGCCATCAAAGAAATGCAAATTAAAGCGACACTGAAGCCAGGCTCAGCCTATAGTCTCAGCATTTTGGGAGGCCGAGGCAAGTGGACTGCCTGAGCCCACGGGTTTGAGACCAACCCGGGCAACTTGGCAAGACCTCATCTCTACAATAAATTAAAAAAAAAACAAAAAAACCCCAGAGAGTTGTGGTAGCACACGCCTGTACTTCTGGCTACTTGGAAGGTTGAAGCGGAAGGATCGCCAGAGTCCAGCAGGTCAACACTGGGGTGGCCGTGAGTGTGCCATGGCACTCCAGCCTGGGTGACGGAGTGAGACTCCAACTCAAAAGAAAATAACAAAAAAAATCCACACACCTAACTCCAGTCAGGATGGTCATCATCAATAACTCAAAAAACAACAGATGCTAGAGAAGATGTGAGGAAAAGGGAACACTTCTACACAGCTGGTGGGAGTCCAAACTAGTACAACCTCTGTGGAAACCAGTTTGGCGATTCCTAAAAGATCTAAAAATTGACCTTCCATACCCTGCAATCGGCCTTCTGGGAATATACCTGGAGGAACTCAAATCACTTTATGAAAAAGATACCTGCGCATGCATGTTTGTTGCAGCATTATTCACAATAGCAAAAACATGGAACCAACTGTGCTGCCCATCGAAAGAGGACTGGATTTTAAAAATGGTACATATGCACGATGGAATATTACACAACCATAAAGAAGAACAAAAAAATATGAACTTAGCAGCAACTTGTATGAACTTAAGAGTCTTTAATACTGAGTATCTATCACAGAAACAAAGAACTGAGTATCACATGTTCTTACTCATAAGTGGACCTGAATAACTATTTTAATACTATAAAAAAGGGACTGGCAGTAGTGGGAAACTACTGGGGCGGGCACACCTCATCAACAAAGGTACCTGCAAAATGAACATTTGTATAACTAACCCTGAATTGTGCCCCACATATTCAAAGTAAAAAGAAAAAAACAAGAAAAACAAAAGAAAAACCTTGATGAACTTATGAGAACAGAAGTCAGGGATCTGTTAAGGGGGTGAATGGGAAGAGGATGAGACCTCCTTCCCGTGTACAGAACAGAGTGCTGGCTGGGTCCCACATGAACTGTAAGCTTGCTGCACAGGTATGTGCATGTCCCACTTGCCATGTCCACAGGCATCCGGGGCAGCAGTGGCCAGTAAGCCCCAGCAAGGGGAGTCTAGCCCAGTGTCTGCAGTTGACAAGTGCTGAAAGACACAGCTGTGGACTGTAGAACCCTAACTTAGTCACATGTGGTTATGTCTAATCCTGTTTGTTTCTTAGCCTTTAAAGTACCAAGAAAAAAGAAAATTACCTTCTGGTAATTTTAGTAAGATTACTAAGAGAAGTAGTATAATAGGTTCTTAAGTTAAAAAGTTTCTTTTTTTCTTTTACTATAAGCATATTGACAGAATTTTTTTTTTATAAAACATTTTTCCTCTCTATCCTAGTATTATAAATATAGTGAGAGAAACTATTCTAAAACTAAAATCAAAGGTTTTAAAATCACATTGTGATTAACATAATGATCCAGACTACAAAAGAAATGACACTTTTCCATATTTACTGAGTGTCCACTATGTGCTGTACGAGTGACAAGTATTCTGTATCATGGAGCTCACAGACTGTCTATACCAACTCCCGCCTGGAGGGCTGGAATTCTGCCACATTCTCCTCAGGGCCTCTCCATGTCTGAATGACTGTGGCCTGCTGGTTTAGGGGCGAGCATACGGGCTAGCATGCATCTGGTTATCAGCTTCATTTGCTCTCTGGCTTCCAGTTCAGTCTTTCCATCACTCCCAGAATGCCAGGGAATATGGCTGATGCTAACTCAGCTTTCTTTTTTTTTAAAAACTCAGCTTTCCTAACACTTTCCAGTCCAGGGAACTGCTCACCATAAGAGAAGGCTGCAGGCATTAATACTCAATGTCTGATGAAACAACAAATTCCAATGATTAAATAAATATATTCAATGTTTGTTGGCAGAAAATAAAATTTCACTTAAAACAAGATTGGCTTTGTGGAATTTCTGTTGTTATCAATACACAGACATCCTCTAAGAAAACTGCAACATAAATTGTTTTAAATATGAATAACAGCCGGGCTCGGTGGCTCAGCCTGTAATACCGTGCCTTTGGGAGGCTGAGGTGAGTGGATTGCCTGAGCCCATGGGTTCGAGACCTGCCTGGGCAGCGAGACCTCATCTCTACAATAAATCAAAAAATCAGCCGGGCGTGGTAGTGCATGCCTGTAATTCCGGCTACTCGGAAGACTGAGGTGGAAGGATCACCGGAGCCCAGCAGGCAAGGCTGCGGTGGCCGGAAGCAGCCACTGCACTCCAGTCTGGGCAACTGAGTGAGACTCCAACTCAAAAAAAAAAAGAATGACTTCAATATCTAAAACATTTAACTAAGTTTCAGAAAATGATCTATCTACTTTTAAGAAGTTTTGATGTAAGCTCACAAAGAAATACCAATCCGAGTTTCTTACACACTACTACTGTATTCTAGTTAAGGCCAAACAAACACAGGCCTGCCAACGAGAGGCAGGACCACATGGTGTTGGGGGCATGAGTTCTGGAGCCAGACTGGCTGGGTCTGAAGCTGGCTCTGAGTTTAAGTATTCACTGTGCTTTGCCTTAATTTCCTCATCTGTGAAATAAAAATGACAAATCTACCCTTCATGGGGTTATTGTGAGGACGAAGTACATTTATATATAAAAAGAAACTAAATGTATTTCTATATGTAGTACAAAATGTACAAATACTAGCTTTATGACTTTTGTACAAACTGTTTAGAAATACATCATGCAGGAATTGAAGCAGTAATTATTAGGAAAGCTCCATAATGGATTGTTTTAATTGAGTAAAACATGAGAAAAAAATACATACAGGGTCTGTGGCTGAAGACAGACAACGCTGAATCAGATCCTCAAATGTGGTCTTTAGAATGAGGTGTTCATCTGGAATTGGTTTCTTGGTGATTTTTTCTGTTGGCAAAGATTGCACATGCTGGAAGAAATAACATCATAAAAAAATCAGAAATGATCAGAACTTATATACGAGGTTTGGAATCTTACTGAAAGATAAACCAGCAACCTTGCATATAGGCCTATTCAAAATCAAATGAGAAGGGAGCATGTGTGACCACTTGGGATAAAGAATACCTAAAACCAGTTCCAGGTACTCCTCCCATAGTGTGGACTTTCCTATGAAGAACTGGATATAAAGTAACTGACTAATCAGGGAGCATATGTTGATCATGACTGTACAGGAGAGATGGGAAGTAAATGTGTGTCAGCAGGAAACATAGCACTGGCAATCAGCTGCTGGGTAAGTGAGCTGCCTGCTAGGCCTGGGGTATTCTGTGTCTAGTAAGCCAAAGATCAAGACAGAAGAGACCATGATGCAGCTGAGTGTACAGATGGTAGAACAAAGAAGAAATGCTTCAGTGTTTAAAGTTTGTTTAGTTCATCCTTCCATTCTTTCAAAAATATTGGGCCTGGGGTAAGAGGATTGCCTGAGTTCACGGGTTTGAGACCAGCCTGGGCAACTTGGCAAGACCTCATGTCTACAATAAATCAAAAAATTAGCCGGGTGTGGTAGCACAAGCCTGTAGTTCCGGCTACTTGGAAGGCTGAGGTGGAAGGATTGCCTGAGCCCAGAAGGTCAATACTGGGGTGGCCGTGAGCATGCCACTGCGTTCCAGCCAGGGCAACAGTGAGACTCCGACTCAAGGGAAAAAAAAAATTGGGCAATTATGTACCAGGCACTAGCTATACACTGGTGAACCAATAAGAAATAATCTCAGCTGAGCTTGGTGGCTCATCCTGATCCCTGCACGCTTTGGGAGGCCGAGGTGAGGGGATTGCCTGAGCCCGCGGGTTCAAGACCAGCCTGGGCAACTTGGTGAGACCTCATCTCTACAATAAATCAAAAATTAGCTGGGCGTGGTAGCGTGTGCTCATAGTTCCAGCTATTTGGAAGGCTGAGGCGGAAGGATTGCCGGAGCCCAGCAGGTCGAGGCTGCGGTGGCCAGGAGTGTGCCACTGCACTCCAGTCGAGGCAACAGAGTGAGACTCCAACTCAAAAAACAAAACAAAACAAAAAAACAGAAATAATCTCAGTTCCCAGTAGTTTATAGGTCAATAGGAGAGGCAGAGTTTAAAGGTGTCATAAATGTATGTAAAATGGCAACTGTGGTAAGTCAACACTTAGCAGAATCAAAAGATTATAGCTGGAATTTGACTGAGGGGATAAGGCTCTCTTCAGGAAATTATATAGGAAGGGTGTATAGGAGGTAACCAGTTAAAGTAAGAAAGAAAGAGCACTTCAGATGAAAGAAATAACACAAAGGAAGGATCACGATAAAGGGGGCTAAAGGAGGCCAGGGTAGCTACAGCAGAGAGAGCAGGAAGGAGCATTGGCCGAGGCCGATTTTTTTTTTAAGTAGGAGTCTCACTCCGTCACCCAGGCTGGAGTGCCGTGGCACGCTCACGGCCACCACAGCATCGACTGGCTGGGGTCCAGCGATCCTTCCGCCTCAGCCTTCCAAGTAGCTGGAACTACAGGTGCACACTATGGTGCCTGGCTAGTTTTTTAATTTTATTGTAGAAACGAGGTCTCTCCAAGTTGCCCAGGTTGGTCTCAAGCCCATGGGCTCAGGCAATCCACTCACCTTGGCCTCCCAAAGTGCTGGGATTACAGGCTGAGCCACCAAGCCCGGCTTGAAGCTGATTTTTAACAATGGGAAGCTGTGATGTTCCAAGTATAGAAGAGATAAGACCACATTAGAGATGGACCAAGGCAGATACAGCAGACCAACTAGGAGGCTCCTGCGGCAAAGACCAGAGACAAAGGAAGCAGCATGGGCCAGAGTGGAATGTGTATCTGAACACATATTAGAATATTATCAGTAAGATATGGGGGATAGATTTGAAATAGAGTTAAAGGGAAAGAAAGATGATTCCCAGATTTGGGGCTAGATTATAGAAAAGAGTAGATGCATTCGGGAAACAGGAAACAATGAAAGAAGACAAGGCTTGATGGGAAGCATGTGAACTGGGCTTTGGATACAGGAGACTAAGGTGCCTACAAGACATCCAGCAGCGGCTAGACACATGCTCAGCCAGCATGGGGTCTCCCCTTCTGCTGGCAATTGAAGCTCTGACCTAGAGGAGCACAGCCTGGGGCCTGGGACTAAGCCTGGGAAGTAGAGAGCCACTTCCCAAAGCGACTCAGATCTGTAAGCACCAAAATACAACAAAAACAAAAAAGACCTTTATAATTTGCAACCTTTATTTTTCAGAAAGAACTAATTCTTCTCATCTTCATCATATCTGTTTTTAAAATGAAATTTTTAGTATTTAAAAATTCCTCGGCATAACTATCTCTTTTTTTTTTTTTTTTGAGTTGGAGTCTCACTGTCGCCCAGACTGGAGTGCAGTGGCCGCTCCTAGCCACCGCAGCCTCAACCTGCTGGGCTCTGGTGATCCTTCCGCCTCAGCCTTCCAAGTAGCCAGAATTACAGGCATACGCTACCACGCCCGGCTGATTTTTTGATTTATTGTAGAGATGAGGTCTTGCTGCCCAGGCGGGTCCCGAA